AGCCCTGATAGGGAGTTAAATTCTGCCGCAGTGTTAGGTAGCATTGACAGATTGGTAGAAGGCTGTTTATACTTAGACAAAGGCCCTCCGCCATCAACCTTACTCCAAAACCCAGCATAGTAGTAATTGTATTCGCAAACATACAACGTGTCTAAGTTAATGCCCAGAATAACTCCTTATCGAAGTACTTATTCAATGAATACTCGGAACTGTACACTGTGCTGTTTTGAGCTGTCAACGTCTTATTTGCGATGTCACCAAAGCGAGGAGCAATGTCAACTAAGGCACGAATACGATGGAGGGGAAGAATGTCGCCAATTATTCTTTGATCTGCCCTCTTTGCCCTTTTCAGGATATACAGGGAGGAATATGGATTGGGAAATGGTCCTTTAGCAGTTCTTGAACCAGATATTGATTGATTAACCTGGGGCACAATATCAAAACGCTGAACGTAAGCCAAAAACTGATCTGGGATATGCTGCATTGCCAGAGTTGGGACAATACGAAACACCACTCGGACATCGACAACAATGTGACCTAAATAATTGACTGTTCAGAACATCGTTCTATATACAGGCTGAAGGAATCAATAAATACCTTTGAGGCCGCTCTGAGGCCATTTTTCAGCAGGATCGACATTTGCTATAACAGAATCATAGTGGCCTAGTGGCCACTCAGGAGATGGTGGGTACGCGTTGACTGTGTGGGCGGCCAAAACGCCATGAGGTGCATGGTATTCTTTTGTTTGAATTCGGAGCTGGTTCCAGACTTCAAGATAAAGAAAGGGAAGAGCGCACGTGTCGCCTGACAATCGTCGGCCTCCAATAAGAGTGGTAGAAGACTCCTCTGTCTGCGAGATTCTTTGTCCATAGTCCCCTAAGGCAGGTCGGAGATCCGGAAGGTTGAACAAAGTCGCAACATCATCGACAAGCATGCGTTTGAAGCTGGGATCACGGGTCAGATGGAAAGTAGAATTTGGTGAGGATTGGTGTGTTCTGTGAGGGTGGGGAGCATTCGGAATCTGACCAAGCTTAAGTTGAGACGCAATCTTGAAATAATCTACTGTGGGGCGTGTGGAGCCAATGAGTGGTGATACAAAGTCTACATTGGCGAGAAGGTCAGCGGTGGTACTGATATTGAAGTGACTTTGTTCTCCGAGTTTGTCAACAAAGGTGTCTGGATCTGGAATAACATTGTCGCCTCGAAATCGAAAGTCCAGTTTAGACTCGCGAATACCTGTAGCCAGATCAAAATCACGTAGCTTGTCCAAGCGGTCAAGGTAACGACATATCTGTGGTTCATGGTTTTGGTTGTTGGCAGATTTTGTAGGATCTTTGACAACCTCAATGTGAGCATGCTCTGTAGTATCAGCAGACCACTGAATTGCAACCCCGTTTAACTGAATATTGGCAACGACACTTTGAAGGAACTCCAGCTTGGGTATGTACCAGTTTAAGATTGCCTTTTTCTTTCCTCGCCGGGCTCCAGCATCCAGAATGGCTTGCTTATACAAGTGGAAGTCGTGAAGAGCCTTTTGAATCTGATCACAGGTGGCTTCGTTAATGACTTTTGCTTGCGCCAAATAACGGAAGTCGAGAAGTGCGCGGATAGCTCCAATGAACATTGGAGGAACACCTTGAGATAGAACAGACACAATGTATCTTTGAACGTCGCGATGCTCCCTGCCAGTCACTTGTTTCAACTTTGATATTCCCTCTTTGAAGTGTCGAAAGCCGGTATGTGGCTTCAGAACTGAAAACCGAAAATCAATTTCCTGGCCATTCTCCCCAAGTGCGGTGATACACCATTTGACATCATGATCCCAGAATTGTTTGTGCCAGTGATGAAGAGGCTCCGGAGTAAGAAATACAGATGGATCAGAAAGGGGGTAGTCTCGCCAAAATGGGCGATGAACACCGTTGAGGTGAAATTTCTCCTTCGATTCTTTCATATAAGACTCCAAGCTCCATGGGTTTACAGTCGATTCTAAGGCCATCAGTTGCGCAAGTGTTGTGGAAGCTGTT